CCCATAGGAGTCAATTATCTCCTTCCCCCATAGATAATTATTTTATGATTTAACATTCCGTATTTTAGATATAAGCAAAGATTTACATCATTATCTTCATAATACTTTCCAATTTCTAAGATAAATAATAGCATATTTACATTTTCTTTTACTGCTTTTAATGTGATATTTTTTGTTTATGTAACAGAGTAATTTAAATTTATTTCTTCACTCATATTTATTGACATTGTTTCATATCTATTTTTTATTTAAGTAGTTTCTCAGTTCTTTAATAAACACAAAAATGACAGGAAAAGATCTTTTATATCTATTTTGTATGTTCAAATAGGAGTTGGTAATTTCTCAGTTTTTTTAATAAACCATTCCAAAACATTTTTCCAAATTGGAGTTTAATAACATATCTGAATTTTATTAACTGTTTTCTTCTCATGTGTTTTGACTGTTTGAGCCTTTAATATATATATATGTTAGAAGTCTTCAAAAAGTCATATCCAACAGCCTTATACTGGGAGACCATCTTGTTACACAGAATCTCTTTAGAGAGTCCAAGTTTGTGTGTGTTTAAAATAAACTATCAACAAGAAGAGCTTGAAAAAAAGTATGTAACAGTTGCAAAATACCAAAGTAATCACCAATTTCAGGTATTGTGGAGGCTTTTTTTCTGATTAGATTAAAGGAATGCACTGAGGAAGATGCATACTCTGTGTTCTTACACATTTTTAAAAAATACAGCTGCTCTGTGAAAAACTCGAAGAGGATGAAAAGACAAACTACAGACTGGTAGAAAATATGTGCAAAACACATACCTGACATATGACTTGTATCTAAAATATACAAAGAACTCTTAAAATTCAACAATAAAAAAAAGTCCAATTTAGAAATGGACAAGAAATTTGAACAGATACCTTGCCAAAGAAGATATGCAGATGGTAAATAAGCATATCAAAAGATGTTCAACATCATTTGTCATTAGGAAACTGCAAATTAAAACAGTAATTATATACCATTACCAGCCTACCAGAATAGCCAAAATCCACTCCCTAAAATGACAATAAATTGCTGGCAAGGATGTGGAGCCGCAGATCTTCTTATTCAGAGCTGCTGAGAACGCAAAACGGTACATCCACTTTAGAAGATGGTTTAGCAGTTTCTTACAAATCTTTGCATACTCTTACAATACAGTCTAGCAATAGTGCTCCTAGGTATTTACCCAACTGATATGAAAACTTATGTCCACACACAAATAAATGTTTATAGCAGTTTAATTCATAATCACCTCAAACTGGAAACAACCAAGATGTCATAATAGGTGAATGGATAAACAATTTGTGACCCATCCATACAATGGAATATTATTCAGTGATAAAAAGAAATGAACTATCAAGCCATGAAAGACATAGATGGATCTTGAATACATACTGTTAAGTGAAAGACGCCAGTCTCAAAAGGCTATGTACTGTAAGGTTTCAATTATATAACATTCTGGAAAATACAAAAATTTTAAAGGTAATAAAAAATTAGTGCTTTTCAGAGGTTTAGAGGGAGGGGAGGAATGCTAAATACCTAAAACACAATGGATTTTTTTTTTTAGGACACTGAAACAATTCTGTATGATACTATAAAGGTGGATATGCAACATTATAGATTTTCAAAACCAGTACTTTGAGAAGCCTAAAATATGTGTTCTTACATACAAATTTTCTGGTTCTGTAAATACCATTTTGTTAAATTCTATTGTGTTTCCTCAACGTTAAGAGGGAAAAAAATGGTTTGTTTAAAATTATGTACTCCACGTTACTGAGTATTTTATGTTTTGACAAGGCATTAATGAAACCTGAATCCTTCACCTACAATTTTACACACCAGGTAACTGATGGTTTTGAGAATTTTCTACAAACTGGCTTTGTCCATTTATTTCAAACCATGTTTCTCTTCCATTACCCATACACTTCTGGTGCCAGGTCCATTGGACATGTTTGCATTATGATCCAGCCTCTGGCCACGCACCTTTGGGTGATGGTGCCCTAGTGAATTGGCACGGTTGTCAGTGGGAGTGTTGCTGAAAGCTATTCCCATGCCAAAACGTCTGCTAATACCTTAAAGATAAATGGAAGTAGCTGCAAAGTTTATAAAACTATACGATCACAGGAACATATTGCTGGATCCCCTCTTGGGACTTATAAAGAACCTCTACAAGTGACAGGTCCAGAGTTTTGGCTTCTTTAGCTTCTCAGAAAATCAGCCTCTAAAGACTAGAAGTCTTTGAAAGCTCTCTTTTATTTTTTTCAGTTCTCAAAGTGAAATAGCAATCAAGATTATCAGCTAGGAGTGAGAATGGGGAATGAAGTGGGTGGTTTGTGAGAAAAAAATAATGTATGAGTAGTCAGCTATGAGAATGGGAAAGTGAATAGACTCAGGAAATACAACTGTTGCCAGCATTAGGATCAACTTGAAGTTCGTGGGAAGGAATTTACAGAGAAACGAATAGGCATGGCAGTGTATTATGGTCTAGCCATGTTTAGCCATACAAAGTGTAGACAGTGGGTGGAAAATTAGATTTGAGCAGGGGTGTAGTTTACCAAGCAAATATTAGGAAGTGAGAAGGATCAAGGGAGAAGAAGGTGTTTATAATCATTCTCTGAAAGTTTAAGAGAATGATTATAATGTTGCACCGTGGATTTTAACCTATGTCAGGAGAGGAGAGGGGACATCAATGGTTGACAGTTAGAAAATGCTAGAATCAATAGATTGACAGGCCCAATGTGTTAAAAGATTATTGGTTTTGAGGTCCATGAAGGAGTAAACTGGAAAGATATAAGTGGTAGTCAGAGAGATACTTCATGGCATTAGGATGGGGATGGGATGCAGTTATGGGTGATGACAAAGTCTACAGGATGGCCATCAGACTGAGGGGCAAGAATGGTGTCAGGGACTGGTTCACTAGAAGAAAATTTCAAGGACTTGGAAGGGCAGAATTTTGAACACACACACACACACGCACACACACACATAGTTGGCACATGCAAAAAAATCTGGAGGTTAACAAGAAATAGCCTTATTTACCTCTTGGCAGAAACTAACTTTAATATTGAAGGAAGTCTTTTACCTTTATTTTATACACTACTGTAGTACAATACTACAATGTACAATGACATAAGACAATTAAAATGTAAATACCTATCCTTTGGTATTAAAGAATTATTGTTAGTTTTACTTAGGCGTGACAAGGGTATTGTGGTTATGTTTTAAATGTTATAATTTAGAGAGACACATATATTTACAGATCAAATATTTTTAGATATTTGCCTAAAAATAATATGAAAAGGGGAGTGGATAAAGGATATAGAAAAGAAGCTTAGATAAAACAAGATCATTTAGGAGTTAAGTAAGGTTACATGGGGATTATACTACTGTTTACTTTGTCATATACAGTTGACCCTTGAACAACTCGGGGATTCAGGTACTGATTCACAGGAAGTCAAAAACCTGAATATAACTTTGACTCCCAAAAAACTTAATGACATTTGTCCCTCATTATCCACAGGGGATTGGTTCCAGGATATCTCACAGATATCAAAATCTGTGGATGCTCAAGTCTCTTATATAAAATGTAGAATAAAGCATACCGTCAACCCTCTATATCCACTGATTCCTAACCGCGGGTCGAAAATACTTCAATCCATGGTTGGTTGAATCCATGGATATAATACCCAGGGCTAGAAAGGGCTAACTGTACATTAAAAAAAAAAAAAAAATCCATGTGTAAGTGGACCTGTGCAGTTCAAACCCATGCTATTCTACTCAACTGTGTTTCAAAATGTCCATAGGAAAAAGTTCCAAGATCAAATTTTCTTTCAATTCCATCCATATCTTATTTGTATTAAATTTGGGAATGTGGTAGTATAAATATTCTTGGTTTTAGTCTTTGTGTTGTTTATGGCTTAAAGGGAAAAACAATTAGCAACCCCCCCCCCAAAAAAAAAAATTATGAGATGAATTGAGGGCCTTGGAAGCCATGTTGAGAAGTTTAGGTTTTATTCTAAAAATAATGAGAAACCAATTAAGTGTTTGCACTAGAGAAAAATATCAGGTGTCTCAATTCGCTCTCTATATAGTCATCCAATGTGAGGAACTGATTGAAACAGGGCTAAATAGTGGAGGAGCATGATCAGTTAGGAGGCTATTAGAGTTGTCTAGGCTTATATTGGTGGAAGTTAGCAGAGGAGGTGAGCAGAGCGAGAAATCAGCAAAGAAATTTTAAAGAAACAGTAGGTGTAATAAAACTGGGGGACTTGGTCTTAAGACTTAGTCAAATACCAACCAAGGTTTAAGCAGGATTACTTTGTTGTCTAGGGCTAGGCCACATAAGCCATAATGGTGTTTGATCTCGCCTCTCCTCTTAGAAAAATACAATGACTTCTCATGATCCCTAAGAATAATTTCTGCCCTCCTCGTGTGGCATTCAAGGCTCTGGTCTCATCTCTCTGTAAATTTCATTATGCATTATATGCTCAGGAAACACCGCTTTAATTTGATGAAATAAGCTGAGAAATTTTCTAAGTTCCTGCTTTCGAGAACTTCTGCTGTCCAGAAGAGGCATAGTTCTCCTCTTTCAAAATTTGTTAGCCTAGACACCAACTTCTCCATGATCTTCCCTAGTCTGTACCCATTTCTCCTTCCTGCATGCCCTAAAAGCACATTACTGGACCTTAGTTTTGCACTTAAGCAGTTACTTCAGTGTGGCTTTATGCAGATTACAGTGGTTTTCATATCTTTTCCCCAACTAAATTAGAAACCACTTGAGATAAAATAATGTGTTAATTCAACTTTATCTTTCTTGATTATCTTACCTATTTTAGTGACCAATATTTATTGTGTCCATATTATAACAAAATCTAGACTAATAACAAAGTTTCCATGGAAAATTTTGATTTTAGCTTAAATGCACAACTGTGTTGTGAACATGTGTGATAATCTTAAATATCAAATGACAGGGCAAATTTATGAGTGCATAAAATTCTTTATTTAGAACAATAAAGTATATGTATATATAATGTAATTTCAAATTCAAACCTGTATAAAAAAGGTCAGGACATATACCTATTTTAAAAAGTACACATACAGTATATACACATACACATCACATTTTACAACCTTTTTTACTTAAACTTCAGTCATAATAAAACTATTTAGAATAGTGTTGACATACATTTACATTACAATACGCAAACTCCAATCTGTCTGAACAGTGTATCTCTGCATCCACCTAAACATCTGAATATTTTTTAAGTCCATTGATTTAAAAAATAGTGGCAAGTGGGAGACTGTAATCATACATTAATCCTTAGAATTATATGAGAACAGGATATTTTGATTGGAAATTTTTATTTAGTGAGTCTTATACCTCAGAAATCAAGTAACTGAAAATACTATGGTTTTTAGCTTAAACAATTTTATTTTAAAAAACATCATAAGAATGTAGTTGGAGATGGCCATTATAAATAAATTTACAGTGCTTAGAAAACGTTTTTGGATCATGAATAGCCATTTTAATATGGGTTATTTCTAAAACAATACCTTGTTAGGAAATGAAAGTACTATTATTTTATCTTTACAAAGGCATTTCCAGACTTGTCAATGAAAAGCAGCAACATACATTATGTGATCAGATACCACAAATGAACTAATTAGAATTTCAGTCTGAATATTTATATTTTAACGCCAATTTCAAAATAATATTGTTTCAAAGACAAGCTGGCTTGTTTTAAAATTCTTATCCCACTTTCCAATTTAAAATGTAATTTATGAATTACTCCTTTCCAAATGGATTCTAAATTATCTTTTGGCATTCAAAAAAACTTTATGAGCATCTTACATTTTCTGCTCTTAGCTTTTAATAAAATGAGAGCATTTAAGTGCTTAATTTGGTGCATTTCCAAATGCTACACACATAGTATCTCTTTCTGACTAAAATGACTAAAATGTAGTAGTGGTGGTTTTAATTCTTCGGAAGTGATCCAAAAATGTTTATATTTAAGCAAAGATAAAAGCCATCTTTTTGTGTAAATGGTTATCCAATTCACTCAACATGAGACTTAATTTCACTTTTACTAATGGACTCTATTTACATTAAAAACAAGAACAGCAATGACTGACTTTTTATGTTCAAATTGCTTAGTCACAGAGATCAATGTTGGATATCTTGCATGGGATAGTTTCAGTTCTATTTTATCTTCTTTGTCAGTCATGTATCAATAGTTCTCATACCTAAGGTGTGACCTCTGAGTTCATAATACAGATAAATAAAAAACTGAGACCCAAAGGGGAGGTGAGTTACCGATATCAGTTAATAGCAGCGTGGAGACTGACAGTTTTTCCTACCATCTATCCCACTATGCCAAACTGCCTTTTTGAAAGATATATTTTAGTTAAAGAAGCATAGATATGGAATGGCTAAAAGCCCTATACTGAAATTACATTTTAAACCAAAACCTAGCTGCAGAAAAACATTAAGAAATATCCATGAATTCTGAATAGTTTTTTTTTTGGTAATTTAATTCCAATTGAATTAAGAGTTCCAAAATATGCCACAGTTTCTCCGAAGTACTTTAATACTCAATGAAATATGTTTCTTACTAAAAACCAACACTTTATTATGGGCACGTAGTTTTTCATAGGTTTTCACTTTTCACATACTTAATCCTTTCTTAAGAGGATAGGTTACTTACTCTATTATCATATTTTTTAAAAAAAATTGGTTTGTGACTCATTAAAAAGTGGCAGTGTGGTAAACCTATTAGATTATAATACGAAATTCAGGAACAGTTCGATATCACTGGGCAGAAACCAATTATCACAGAGTCAGCTTCTTTGCAGAGTTGGATTCTACCAAAGAGGTACAAGCTTTCAGCATAATTTAAAATCTTCGGACTTCTGAGATTATTTCAAAAGGCAATTTTGAAATACTGATTTATGAAGAAGGATATTCAGAACACAATAGGATAAAATAAAGATATATGTGTATATTTTATCTTAAAGCAGATATGACAATTAATGCCCAAGCAGCTAGCATCCAAAATAATGTTCAGCACTTTTCTATTGTTCATGCATTTTTATGGAACTTCAGTATTTTAAAACTTGGTAATCCACGTAATAAACAAATACATTTAATTAGGCAGAATATATCTCCTCTCACCTACTATGTCAGATTTCATAACTTGCTGAATTTGTTTATTTAACTCTATTGATTAGGACTATGTCCATGAGTGTAAAATCCAGCTACTAGCCTTGAGAACAAAAGTACATTTATTGTACTCTCAAGTTCATTAAACAGCATTTTCACATGCCTAAGAAAATCAAAACCATTGGTGAAACAAATCAAACTATTAAGTATCAGACTTCTCAATCTACTCATGACCTATGCACATAACTCATTAATCTATGTCTATTTTCCTCAAAACGATCAGTGTCACATGACTGAGACAGTTCCTTTCATCAGTTAAACTGATTTCTAGTTTTATTACTAATCAATTGTACTACTAGATGGATTGGATATTGGAGGGCCTCAATAAGTTAACGTAGCTTCCTAAAGCACTGGGGTTGTATCTTAGAGAAATGACTAGTGTTTGAAGAACCACAGCACTTTAGAGAAGGAAGGGATCCTAGAAATCACGTGGGCTCTTTGGTACAAAGAAGAGCAAAGGCCACATATTGAAGCTGTATTTGAATTAGCTTTGAACATAAACTAAAATCCAAATACACTAGAAATTCTTAAGACTTTTGAAATCAAAGGAAAGCTAGCACTTAGTTTTTCTGGTCCTTTTTTATCACTACATTGAAAATGGTCATCTGATGGTGGTAGTACATGGCAATAATGTTATCATATGGATTAAGTTACAATGGAAAGCTTTGGACGCCTTTATGTGTATGTCTGTGATATACTAAAAGAATCTTCATCAAACTAAGCCATAAGAAATCATTTGACTTTTGTCAGATGTTCCTTTGACCATAAACAAAACTGGCAAAGGAAATTCACATAATGTCTTACGAGTTCTAGCTTAAAAAAGTGCCAATGTCTACCTTGGGAATTCCCGCCAAATGCACTCTTATATGACAAACGCTGTCATACCTTTTAAATAGCAAATTGACATGCATAACTACACAAAACTCTTTTTATTTTTAATTCATAAACCTTAATGGATATAGAGTGCCTGATTTTAAATAAATGGACCCTTTAAACAGATAATGATGATTATACTATATAAATAAGAAGAGTTTCCTGATTCCTTGCATTCTTGTAAAAGCCAAGTAACCTATGTTTCAACACCCATGTCAGCATGTGGGTGTGATTTTCTAACCTTAGATACTAAATATCATAATTTATTTTTATTCTATCCCATGTGGGAATTGAAAATGGGACCTTCATACGTTTAGCAATTTCTCCTAAGTCCCTTTGCATAACTCCGTAATAGTTTTAGAATATAAACACTTGGTAATAAACTTTGCGAGCATGATTTACATACTCTACAGTGGTCAGGAGAAAAGGCCGACCTCACCAGGGGTGCCATATGTCCTCCGCTGCGGCCGTCCTGTTGTTCAGTGTTCATAGCTTCTTCAGGTGATGACTCTCTCGGAGAGTCTCCCCTCTGCAAAGGCATCACTGTTCGAATGTAGTACTGGCTCCCCTGCTTGGATAGATCCAGCCAGCCATGTCCACTTGTCTGGTGGGATATGGGTGAGCATGGTTTATGTCAGGAAGAGGCCAAGATCAGACCCATATCATTAATCAGCAGCTACAGGCTGACATGATGCCTACTCCAATCATTTTTTCCCACTGCCTTCTATATGTACAGTGGCTGATGCTACTGAGTTTTTGTTTTTTAAATTTTTCTAGATCCCTCTGAGACAAATTATTATCCCGACTATCCAGGTTGAACTGTACTTGAAGAGACCAAGATAACTACAAACTGCAGGTTGTAACTGAAAATAAAACAATGTGGCTTTTCAGCAGTTAGACACTTCTGGAGGCATGCAAAATGGTGAATGTAGTCTGGGACACGTGCTTTCTCTCCCAACATCAGTTGCAGGTTCTAAATGAGACTACAAGTCCCCAGGTCCTTAAAACAGAGTCCTGCTCCACGCAAATTCTTCTTTATAGATGATTAATTCAGTGCCAGTTTCACAGTAAAACACTTTGTTCTAATTTCTGAATCATCCATATAGAGTCATGGGTAGCAAGAACAGATAAAGACGTGGTCTGTCGCTCCAGACAGAATACGAATTTGTGTAAAGCTGCTTCATTTATGAAGCAAACATGAACTGTTACCCGCCTAGAGAGGAAAGACAAAAAGAGAGATTATGGCATATCTGCTTTCTGCTTTTTCATTCTCAACGGCTGAATTAATATGACTACAGAATTAGTAACAGACTTATAATGTATGCTTCACTTACACAGCCTAAAAGAACCTGACAAATGTTTTCCTAGATGCAGTGATCATGCACTCGCTATGATCTCCCTGGTAACAGTAAACATTATCTGAAATGATCTTACTCTTTATTGACTGTCTGCTCCCATTAGAATGTAAGCTCCATGAGGAGGACACAAGGCTGTGTCTTTTTTTTTTTTTTTACTTACTATCATACTCCAACATCTAGAACAGTGCCTGGCACAAAATAGATACTCAATAAATATTTTTTGAACGTAAGAATGGATGAATGAAGACCCTGTGGTTTTCATATCCCCCGAGTATACCACAGATGATCTCCATTTGCGATAAGAGGGTTATCAACCTATGTAGCCTTGAATTTCTCTAACAAGGCTATGAAAAGGTAGCAGACAGGTGGTTAGGGGACAAGGTTTGAAGGACAAAGGCAGTGTCTAGAGAGTGGAGAGAGACGGAGGAGCATGAAAGAGATATCTGGGACAGATGAAGAAACTGGTCGGAGGCCACTAACAGGTGGCCTCCTGGCCACCGAGTGGCACCTGTATCTGGACTGCCTACCCGGCTTCTAGCAAGCAAGCACTCCTTCCAGCTGAGGAAACAGCAGCGGCAAGATCTCCTTCAATACTGTCAGCCAAAAAAAGAAAGACAAATCCTGGCACCACATCCTGACAAAGCCTCTGGGAGATTCATTTGGCCTCGGCACAGCTTATTGTACTTGTTGAAACACGAAAGCCAGACTTTGTTTTAGTTTTTCTGTGCTGGTGTTAAATTACTGAGCTTTGGACTTAGCTTTCAGATTTTGCAACTTTCAAGTGAAGTATTTGTACTTCCTTATCTATTTTTTATTATAGACAGTATCTTCACACTATCTTTAGTCATGATCCCTAAACAAATGAGCATTTTTGCCTTTTCTTCTCTACTCACTATTTTTCTCCTAACCTTTTCCTTATTTATCAATCCTAGAATCACAGAGCACTAGTTTTAAAATATTTGAGATCATTACACAGGTTATGTATAAAATACCATATTTTGAGTGACAAGAAGTACAATATTTTTTCTAGTCTTTCTAAATGTGATATACTAAAAAACATATTACATGATGATTTATCAAACAGAGAACTCTAGGAACTAGAGAACCTACATTTAGGGAAGCAAAATTAAATCCTGAAGGAAAATTAAGATGCATTAAGAAGAAACTTCAGAAACCCAAAATACATAGCAGATATTTTAAAAATAAAGCTTAGTTAGAAAAGCAAAAGCTAGTCATAGAGAAGCAAAGAGATATTTTTTAAAGCTACAGATAATTTAAAATTCTAAACTTAATCAAACATAGAAAAGCAAGATTAGAAAGCTATTTCTGATTTTGTCCTTATGAATCATTTAGCTTTTAAGTTTATTTTCTTTGCTAACAACTGTTTTCCTATAGAACAAAACTGTAATTTTTATAATGACACCTTGGATTTTTGCCAACAACCCCATGAAATAGGCAAGGTGAATATTATTATCCACTCATTGTATTTGAAAAACCAGGGCTTAAAAGACAACTGACTCATTCAGGAACTTACAGCTTGTTAAGTTGCAGAGCCAAGACGTGAACCCAAGTCTGATACCTTCTAAACCTCTGCACCACAATATGTCTACAAAAAACAAAAACTCCAAAGCTCCAAAAATTCTGAGGAACTAGCTGGTAAAGAGTCACAGATCTTGCCATCTGACAACCAGTCATTGCCATATCCTTGTGCTAAATGACCAAGCTTGACTCACACTCATCTGTATTCCAACCCTAGAATCGATTGTTTTGTCTTAGCTCAGATCTACAGGAAACTTCCAGGTTGTGTTTCTTTTTTAAATTATCTCCACCAGCCTAACTGTAATAAGAACTACTCTCTACTCTTGCCGTGATGGGTAGGTTAATAAACACTGATAACTGTGTACAAACTCATGCTATTTACTGTCAACCAAACTGGGCCTTCTCAGTTGACTATGCAGTTCTTCTACCAAGGTCCCAATTAAAATTCTTTGTAGATGACTCCCAAATCCCAAATCTATTATTTGCAGCCCTCACTGTTTCTGATTTCCTGTCTCACATATCTGGCCACTGGTCAATATTTACTAACAGCTCCTTCTATGTTAATGGAACTGCAATCTGGTTAGTCCCGAAGGCTCCAAATCACCCGTGAGTATTTCCTGTAATGTTGAGCCTCACATCCCATCAGTAACTAGAATTTGTTGATTCTTTCACTGCAATGTCTCCAAAATGGCCCATGCTTTCCTGCCTCCATGGCTCTGACCTGAGTTCAGGTCCTTATTCCCTCACATCTGTTTGGGAGATTGGGTTCCTAAGGAGACTTTCTAACTCCACTTCACCTCTCCCGTTTATCTGACCTCAACACCATCTGATAACTTCCCTAAAATTGCTCTGACTGTATCACTCACATCTTTTCTGAACCTTCTAACATCTTGTGTTGCTCAACAGAGTGTGAGTCCTACATTTGGGATTTTTCACACTGACTGCCACCCTTTCTTCTTAGTGTGTTAACTCTTTGTGTGATCTTCACTAGAGTCCAACTGTACAAATTGACTGGAACACAGTATGTACTTTTTGCCTCCTGGACTTAGTTTATGCTATCTGCAGTATCTGGATTATCCCTTCCCTACTGCTAATATAACTACCAATCATCCAGCATCTACCTCAGTACAAGTGCCACTTCTATCGCTTACACAAAGAAGCTTTTGTCCTGTAGCTAGTCAAATACCAGCTCCTTTTGTCAAATACGGCAACTGTATATGGGTGTGCACTGCACAATTCTAAGGGATGCCACCATACCATTATCTAGAACTATGGCGCGGGACCATCTGTATAACCCTAAGCAGTGGTCTTGTCTCTCATCTTACTGCATTTTCCTTGTGAGCTCCTTTTGTTGCTTTTTAAACGTTGAAAACTTCTGGTTTCCTTTTCAAAATAGGTTATTATGCATATGTCCTATTTCCTTTTATAAGCCATAAGCAATTGGAGGATACAACTAGGTTGTATTAAGCTTTGCATGTAACAAGGCACCTACTAGAGTTTGTGGGAAGAATGAAGAGCATAATTTTGCTATAATAAACTCTATTTTATTTCTTTCCCTTAAACTGTGCTACACATAACCCAATAAATGAAAAATTCTTGTGGGATGCTACATATGGGTACTTAGTTTCAGTTAGTTGACCAAGTGGATTTTTAACTTCTCTTATATGTTCATGTTTGTCAAATAAACACAGCTTTAGTATATTTTTGCTTACAGGCAATTTCTTTTGTTTCTAGTTCATTATCTTACATTCTTTCTATGTTCTTTCCTTGTATTTAAAATAAAAAACTCTCCTCTTCATTTTCCAAGTATAGGTTATTTCCATTGGAGAATTAACCATTCCACATGTTTTCTATTCTAGTGTTCCAATATTTGTCCTGATTTAATTTTAATTTAGTTAGTGAAACTTCCATGTCAGTGAGAAGTCCTTGCCACAAACCTGAGTCATTCCCTGTATTTTCCCTTAACCAAGAAAGTAAATGTAATCCAAATTATGACTAGTTTTTAAATATATAATTACAACTCCACATTTCATTTCTATCTTGGTACTTTCTACTACTGTTATTCTTATTTTTCAGCAGATTACCGCTCCTACCATGTCATAGTCTGCTCTCCCAAATCTTTCCCTCCACCACATCCCCTTCCCCAAATTATATTTAAAAATTCCTTAGAAGTTTTAAACATGTGTTGGTACAGAGCCATACAAAAGAGCTATACAATGGGCACTCAATAAATTACAAATGATTCACATTTTGACTTTAGGGTCTGCAGATTCATGACAATGAGTTTTCTTCCTTTTTCCTATCTTAAGCATTTGAATTCTACATGCGCAAGTCTACTTTGTTTTTTATTTCCATAAATTTTATTCTCACATTATTACAATACTGAGATACTCATTCAACAAATATTTATTCATCATTTACATGCGCAAAGTATAAGCTATATAGTTTGGTGGGATTCCAAAATGAAATTCAGAAACAAATCTTGCTTTATAAGAGTTTATAGTTTAGAAGAGGACACAAAATGTCTCTTGAGTAACTGTGATGTCCTATTAACATATTAGTATTTTATGAGTATTATATGTCACATGAAATATAATATGAAACATAGTTAGAAAGCCATAAAGAGAGATTTCATTTGGGAAGTCAGCGTTTTAGAGGTTATGGTATCTGACCTGAGTCTTGAGAGAGCCTTGCAGAGATGATGGGTAAGGTACTTCATGAAGGAGAAAGTCATTTCTTCATTCATTTTACACTGACTACCTGATGTGTGATGAGTTTATCTCTAAACAATTCAGGGCTTCTTCTTCAACCTGTCTGCCTACTTTTGTTTTATACATGAATAATATTTTGTATTTAAAAAAAATAAATGTCATCATCCATATGACTGTATTTTCCCCTGCTGTGCATTTTACTGTCCTACTGACCAAAATCAGCAAATTAAACACACATATGCACACACAAGATTAAAATAAACCCTATTTCACTTCTTAAAAGATTTTTAACAATTTCTTTATTGAGGCAAGAACACTTAATGTGAGATCTATTCTCAATACATTTTTAAGTACACAATATAGCATTACCTACACGCATGTTATACAGCAGATCTAACTATCTTCTTACCACTTAGTTAATCTTTCATTTGGGGTTTGTTAATTCATTGAGTTGTTCCTACAACAAACATTAACCGAGAGCCTACAATGCACATGCAACAGGTGAGCTGCTTATGAGGAGATACAGCAAGAACCAGACAAACTCAGTTCCCATCCTCGAATGTTCCCTAACTAGAAGACATATGAATAAGTTGCTTGACTACAGTTGCTTTAAAACGTCATCTCACTGTGTCTTAAACAAGTACCCTGGGTTATCCCATCATAATCTACTCTCTAACTCTTACGGGACAAATGTCACAATTAAAAAACACATGATTAAAAAGACCTGTGTGCCAAAACAGGATCCCAGTCATGCAATCCAAAACCAAACAACACAGGACAATTACTTGAGCCTCTAAGACTTGATTAACTATTTAATGTGTGATTTGTGGATGCCTGGCTTAAGGGAACCGAAATGGCAATAGGGAAGATATTGTGAAGCTTGTGTTGGGGTTGAAGGGCAGAGAAATAAGTTTCTAGGAAAAAACAATGATGTTGGCTTGGGGAATGTGGCTCCAGAAAATATTAAGGGTTGAGTGAAGGGTGTATTATTTACGTTATTTGATAGAAAAAATGAGCCCGGAGAGAAGCTAGGATTCATGCTTTGGACACAATGATTAAGGGCATGATTAAAGGGCATGAAAAATGAAGTCTATGCAGTAGCAGGGTTAAAGTGTTAGAGAAATATGCAATATAATTATTGTATCATGTTATTTTGGGTTGTTGAAAAATGTCCTCTAACTATAAAAGTGAGCACTCCTGGAGGAGGCAAGAGGCTGTTGTGACCCAGTTTTCCTGGGAAGTTTCTGAATCTGGGTCAGAAGTAGAAGCTGGAAGGACAGTGACCTGTCAGGAAAAGGGAGAGATCACCACTGACCGTATACACAGCAATCTAGGAGAGTAAGTGATCCTCTGACCAGGAGGGAGTGTGGGGAAGAACTGAACTGTTAGGCAGATGCGAGAACACTCATACCCCATGGTAATACATGTGTGTGGGATTCCATGGGCATAACACAATTAACAGCCAGTTAGCAGAAGTGAACATGGGAAGAGCACGAATGGATATTGGATCAGATTCCTGCCATTCAGGGCGCTCCCCCAACAGTACTTGGAGACTGGGAGCTGAGAGAGGAGATATGAACATCGGTGCCTATTGGTCATGTTTCCTCACTCGCCTTTCTCCCACAAGCCCTCCACAGAGCCACACAATCACATATGAGTCACTGGTTATATGCATTGTGTCCCAGGCTCTGGACTCATGAGGCACAATAATGAATAGTCATGTGGCGGGTGGCACTTTACCTTGACAATTTACCTCTCCTGACTGTAAGATATTCTGACCTTTTCTCCTTCTTAAAATGGCAGGGGCATGTCTTCGGTTTTCAATCATTTTCAGCATCTGTGAAATACTTTTTCTATCATGTTACAGTAGTGACACCTAATGGAAATTGGTTTTATTTATTCTTTCTCTATTAATAATATTTTATTTTAGTCCTAATTGACTCTATTCTCTTTGTATCATTTATCTTCTGGCCTAATACACAGTGAATACTCAACTGTTAATTTTTGTTATATCTCCCATAAAAGACAAGTCCACTTATCAGGACTAACACTGCTTGCTGTACCTTCCAAAATTTGAGAAAACACAATGAATTAGCCATGCACAATTCAATTATGTATTACTTGTCCCGTTAACATACTGATGGCAGCTTAATAGAAGTCTTAATAAATTTTGTTTTTATATTTTGGCATCTAAGATGCTACACAGTTCTTGTTAAATCTCTCAGCTTAAATTCTAAGAACTTACCAACGTACAAAAGTAACAGTGTTGATACAAGCCACAATTACACTTCTTGAAACTCTCTCTCTTTTTCTTGCAACATACTGAAAAACAAGAAAAATGCTTATTTGCTTTTGGACAGAGATTCTAAAGTACATCATGATCTGGACATTGTAAAGGCGGTTCTTCTATAAATACAGTAGCGAAAGATTACAAAATTGAGTGGGAAGCTTGCCTTCATATGTGTTATTATAAGGAAGAGAGAAGTCTATCTGCCTCAACAGTCACCCAAGTAGTTTTTCAAATTCTCTATGCACATGCACATACATATAATAAAAATGTTTATATGAACTTAATATGTGAATATGTATACACAGGCATAATATGAGAGAAAGTAACATGCCAAATGAACATTGTAACAATGTCAAATCAAAGTATTAGTACTGGGGCGATATGGCAAGGTAAAAATGTGATCAGGGTCAGCTACGGTAAATGGAAAGGTATCTTAAAACAATTTTTATATTTTATTTTGGAGAAAATACTGAATAGGATTGGGGAAAGTTAAGGTTCTGAAAACTAGAATGAAGTCAAATGTATTCAGTATATAAGAGACCAATCACAGAAAATATCTTGACTAGGAAGTGATATTATGAACGAGGGTTAAAGGGAAAATGAGACAAAGGTAGAATCTAGAAGGACGAAGGAAAAGAAAGATTCTGTGGCAGCAACTCAACCAAAACATAATAGAGATACCGATGAAGATAACCACTACTGCCAAAGAAAGTGCTAAGCTAAGTAAGAGACTCCAAGAGAGGAATAGGTATATCCTGGTGATAGTGTGGAAAAGAAGGAAAATAAGCAAATGTGTCTACTGAGTTCCTGGACTAGGAGTCTGACCAAGATTCTGCTTACAGAAATAAAGAAATAAAGTACCCTTCTGCTTCCTTAAGAAGGACTGCGAAGGTATTCTATAGGTTAATGGAGGCATAGGATTGAAGAGAGAGGTGAGAGGTCAGAAATGTGGATAAAGACTTTGAAGACAGTGGTTGGAAGCTGTCATTATGAGAGAGAACAACTTCTTAAAGACATTATGAGCATGTGCGCAGTGTGTGAAATGGCAATGTCAGGGTTACTCATGCACACATTTAGTGAAACAAAATACCTTATCTCATTATCCTCTTCATTAATCTGTATATTTTCAACTGTCCTTGTAGGATTTGATTGTTTCTTCTGGAAAAAGAACAACAATAATATATATTGTAAACATATTTAAGAGGTAAGTGGTCTCCACTTTTATCTTTTATGTCAGTAAATCCAATAACTGTTTTCTTCAGCATGCAAAAATAGTTTTCCAATAAGAAATTATGAAAAATGCATGGTATTATCGACACAACACTTTTAGGATGTTGGAGGTAAAAATGTAGTAAAGAAACTGAAAGATTTAAATAATGATCACGTGCAAAATACATTTCCAAAAACAGAGTCACAATGATTTAGCACACCTTAAAATTTTAGATAGGCTACAATAAGAAGAGAACAAAAGGTAGAAATCCAAAATAGCATATAATACAAATGGCACTTCTGTTTGGTTTTAAGCACATCATATGTTTGCAGCATATTTTCTTTCTTTTTATATTTAGGTCAAGCTATTAAAACCAGGTGTCGTTTCTTCAGTGTGCATTCTCAGCTACAGGAGTTGTCTCCAAAGCATAATAAGGAATGGGGAGAAACCTTCCTAAGATTTAAATTTTGTTGAGAATGAGTTAAGGTCAGACTTAACCGATTTTATTCTTTTCTTGGTAAGATCTTTTCTCAGAAAAAAGCACTTCGTTTGTTAATCATTTACATAAATATAGTAAGAACAAATAAATAGAGTTCAGAAAGTTTTTGTCAAGGAAAAAAATCAGGAACACTTACCTTCCAGTATAAGGCTCCAAAACCAAACCCAATTACAAGAGAAAAGAATGCTGGCAAGACCATTGCTGCCCACTGTAAGCTGGAGTTTCCAATGGAATTTGAGGTCTTCCCTGTAATTTAAAGAGTACTGTGGTGAACACAGCATATCCATGCTAGAGGTTTTGCTCTTATGTTGCGGTTGTTCCCGTTTCTGTAACGTGCTATTGACCTATCTCTGTTTAAAATATTTAAACCACTGATTTTTCTGCTGAGTATTGTTCTGGAATTGCAATACAAACCCATGTAGTCTCCAAAATGCAAATACGTTAAGAAAAGAAACCCCATAGATAGAGGAGATTTGATTTGGTTAATGTTGATGCATAAGGAATACAGACTTGACATATTCCTGGGGTGGGGTATGGGGGAGGAATGATTCATGCTACCAAGCAAATCTATCTTGTATGCCTTTATCATCTAATATCTTTTCACTTTCTCATTCTTGACATCTTGCCAAGCAATTTTAAAGATGACATTTTGTAATTCACATCAAGGTCTGCATGCATTAAGCTTTATCTGGTCTGCCCCCAATATTAAGTCATTACATACACATCGTGGTTAGATTACTTTTGGGTACCTTATGCCTAGAATCATGATGTTTCCTCATTGCATCCTCAATGTACATTTACTGGACGTTAGGTAGTAACTGACATTGTGCAACGAACTGAAGTTTTGATTTTTCAGACTTTTTATTTTGGAAAGAGACTATTGGACATTAAAAAAATGGTTGAAAGCACCAGTGTCTCCACATTGCTTACTCTAAATAAGTAACAGTGCAAGAGAAGACATGTGACATTAGCTTGGAACACCTTCCTTGTTCTTGCCTTGCTCTTCCATGAGAAGCATAATGATTCATAATTTAAACAAAGCACATCTCTCGCAGGGTCTCTTCCTCCGAACACAAAGCTTAACATTTTGACAGATTTTTGCTTCCTGACGAGGAACAACTAAGTTGTTTGGGAACATGGACACCTGTGCCCATTTGGAAGCGTTAAACTTTAAGTTTTCTTTCAAAGATGTAATAAATTTAGAAATTATACATTTTCAACAATTCTATGATCAAAATGTAAACTAATCCAAGAGAAAGTAACCACTTTGGGCTATGATATTTTACAATGATTTTCGAGTTACTGTCAGCTTACAGTCACCTATTTAACATATAAAGTACCAAAAGTATATAATATAAAAGAACGGAGTCGCTGTATGTGTATCAACATTTACAAGGAAAAAACTCATAGATTTAACTTAAGAGGGAAGAAACAAATCTTATTTACTATATATAGTGAGAACAGGAATTGCCTATTTCCCCACCATTTGTAAACTGAGAACAGAAAATTCACTAATTTTATGACTTGTACGTTTCCCAAGAAGCTCTAATAATATTTGTATGTGTGCTCACGGCATGTGTGTATGTTAGGGAGGTAGTGAGTGGTGGATATGTTTGTACCTGTATTCCAGTAACACATTTAAATTTTCCTTAATAGCCAACCTGCTGTGGCCCACACTATCTACTGGGATTGCTGGTGTAGTTTTGATAGATTTGACCAGGTAACCTCCTTGAGGGGCCCTAACCAATGTTTACAGACGAAACAAAGGAAGCTATGATGTTCTGGCCCCAGACCCCAGTGGAAAACCGAAGAGCTAGTATGGTGCTACGAAGAACTCTATTACCTATGTTTGGGTAAGTCAGATGCCCGGGAATCTAGACAGCCAAACACCCTGTTCTTCCTGTTTTATCTAAAGACCAACTCTTGAATTGCACTATTCAGACCGGAGGAAAGACCACACCTACTAGCCCAACGCAGAAGGAGCTTACTAGAGAGTGAGGTATTCTGGGATCCCCCACTCAAAATCTTTCTCAGCTAGGACAAGCTCCAAAGGGAGGTATTTCAAAAAAAGCCCTGCTGGCGGAAGAACCTAAGGAAAGTTCACCTCACCCAGAATACTGTGGCTTTTTTCTCACTTTGAAAGTTTCACCCGCCAGGACTATGGCCCCAAACAAAGTCCTGGAAACCAACTAACATACAGCAGCAGTCTTCCTGCAGGACATTGGAAGGGAAAGGCCTGGTAAAGGCTGTGAGGGGAAGGGGACCACAAGAACAGAGCTTCACCTCCTACAGAAGTCAGTGTTTCTTCATGTTTGTTATTTCTCTTGTGAAATCAAATGGCTTAATGGCCAGGCCATTGGTTCTCTCCAATGAGATACTGCCATCTCTCTTGCAGGGAAAGAAGAAATGACGTTATCAGAAAGGGCTTGCTTGCACCTCCAGGGCACGACTCCCAATACTTGCTACTGCTGCTATGAACACCAAGGACCAATGAGATTTGAATTATATGCTTCAAGGCCAATATGAAAGATATTTGGGTCCAAAGCCCAAACCAGTAACAGAACTTTGCTTTTATGTAAAGATTGTCCAAAGAAACTTTGTAGAGCAAGGGAGCTCATCTGGACAGGATTTGAGTAATCCCAAATTCCTGGCTTGTTGTTAAATCAATTGTATCCCATTATTATGAAAACCATCCACTCTCCAAAATTCATGGGAACTGACTTGTTTGGCTTGACTAATAATGCCCAACACCTGTATAAATACAGAACACACAACACTGTGCTACAAATTTGCCGAACTCCTTTTTAGAGTCAGTCTGTTTATGGGCACCATGGCTGTGAACACAGATTTCTTGGTGCTTAGAAAACATGCAGCTTGGTGCGGGCTCCTTGATTCAGATCCAAAGCTCACCACAGGCTTGCCACAATTACCGAACCACAGCATCGGCGCATCCAATTGTTTTAATAATGAATGATGAACACATATTACACATTAAGCGCTGCTCCAAGTACACGTGCTAACATTTAAAACTCACAGAAACCCTATGAAGGACATATTATCCTTCATTTAACTGGGGAGTCCAGAGAGCCCAAGGTCACACAGCTAGCCAACAGATGAGATATAAGTCCAAGGCAATCTGACTCAGACTGTACTTCTTGAAGATGTGTACGGTAATGTCAAAGTAAGGATCTCCTTCTATTTTATTTAAATACTGTGTGCAGAGATCTCAAACAAACATTTTTAAATATCCATTTAGCCTAGTACAAAAGATGTTACTATCACTTTGAAAATACAACTCCATTTAACTTGAATTCTCCCTTGCAGACTACAGAGAGGACACTCATATCTCTGGACTATTCTTCCATATGCCCTGTTCCTCTGGCTAGCATGGCCACTTTTTGGGTGTTATCCTTGAAACTAGCATGCTTTCTTCAAACTTCCCTGACCCTATTTCCAAAACAGTCTTTTCTCCTCCATGCTATAATTAAAAACACTAACATACTTCTATTATTATACATACTATAATATATAGTTGACTCTTGAATAATGTGGGGGTTATTTATGTATTATGTATATTTATATATGTGTTACATATATAAATACATATATAAATAAAACAAAATACTGAGAATTTCATTTATGTCTGTTTCTCTTATGAGAATGCAGACTTCATAAGAGCTAGTCTTGTGCATGGATACCTAAGTGACATATTCACAAGTGACAGCACCAGGTCAAAAGCTGATTATTGTGCAAGGCTCATATTTTTTACAATAAAGAAAAAAAGAAGCAAAACAAAAAAAGAAGACTGGCCACTCATTCTTAAAAACTTAAAAAGTACCTTCAGACTCAGAGGCACAGACCTGAATATGTATTCTGCATTCAGTTTGTCTTCTAAAGTAAATAGAAAAGACTTTTGCTTCCAACCATGATGGCAGCAGTTCTGCATTCCCAACTTAAATAATTATACTAGACAAATTATATGAGGCAACTATTTTCTGACACCAGCCAACAGGCAGCACAAGAGTGTAATTCCTGATAATATACATGGTGAGTCCCACGATTATCCTGACTTTCTGGCTAGGAGGCACCTTCAGACAGTCATGGAATATAGAACCCAAGTAAGGCTCAGTTGTCTCTCTCACTGGGACAGGGCATCAGACTGAAGTTCAGGGTTGCTGACATAGCAGGAGTTTGTGAGGCAGGGCTATTTGCAGGAAAGGAGCCATGCAGAGAAATTTCCAGAGGAGCCTCCTTAAGTCACTTGTCAAATAATAAGCTGTACACTCACAGAAAGAGATTTCACGAAACCCGACATGAATGATGCCTGAGAAGCTATGACTTTGTCAGAGACCCTAGGTGTTTTTCAGAGACGAAAGAGTTCTGATGAGCAAGAATGGAGAGATTTCCTAGGCACTCAAGAGATATCTCAGAAAGTATTCCATGCTTTGAAATAAGGTTATTCTTCCAGTTCCCTCTAAAGAAGCTTAAAAACAAGACTAGAAAGAAAAATAAAGCTGATCTGCCAGTACAGTAGTCTCTCCTTATCCACAGGGGATACATTCCAAGACCCCCAGTGCATGTCTGAAACCGTGGATAGTACCAAACCCTATATGTACTGCTTTTTCCTATACAAACACACCTATAATAAAGTTTATAAGCTAGACACAGTAAGAGATTAACAACATAATAAAACAGAATAATTATAACAATATACTATAATCAAAGTTATGTGAGTGTCATCTCTCTCACTTTCTCTCTCTGATAACTGGTGTAATAATCAAGACAGCTACTACATGACTTTACAGGCAGGTAGACACACCAGACAAAGGGATGATTCATGTCCCTGTGGGATCAAGTGGGATGGTGAAAGATTAAATGACACTACTCAGAATAGCATACAATTTAAAATTTACGAATTGTTTATTTCTGGAATTTTTTCATTTAATATTTTCAGACCACAGTTGATTATGGGTAACCGAAACCACAGAAAGCAAAAACCACAGATAAGCGGGTCCAACTGTAATTGAACTGCCATTGGAACAAAACTGAACAGTCTCTAAAGGAATGCTACAAAATGTAGATATTCAATAACACAGTATCCATAATATCCAGTATATATTTAAAAATTACTAGTCATCTAAAGGGAAACGTGATCCATAGTCAGGGAGAAAAAAAAAAATCAGTCAATAGGAAACAACTCTGAGATAACCTACATGTTCGAATTAGGAGACAAGAACTGTAGAGTAGCTATTATAACTATATCCAAGGGCCAAAAAAGAAAATATAGTAATGAATATACAGAGTAAAATCTCAGAAAAATATAAAAATAATCAAATGGAAATTCTATAACACAAAGTACAAACTTAGAAATGAAAAACTGCACTGCATCAAAACCCACAGAATGTACACCAAGAGCGAACCCTGTGTACACTCCGGACTTTGGTGAATACGGTATGTCCATGTAGCTTCAATTGTAACAAACGTACCACTCTGGTGGGGGATGCTGATAACGGGGGAGGCTATGCATGTGTGAGGGCAGCCGTATGTGAGAAATCTCTGTACCTTCCCCTCAATTTTGCTGTGAAACTTAAACTGCTCTAAAAAAAATAATAAATTCCTAATTTAAAAAATTTTAAATAGCAAAAAAAAAATGTACCAGATAAAAATTTAGCAGATTAGTGATGACAGAAGAGAGTCAGAGAACTTGAAAATGGATAGGTAGAAATTACTCATTTTGAAGAATACAGAGAAGAGAGGTTGGAAAAAAAAGAAAAAAAAAACTTAACAAAGGCTCCATGATTCGTGACACAATATCATACTGCCCAAAATATGCGATTAGTGTCTCAGAAAGAGAGATGAGAGAATGAAAAAAAAAATTGAAAAAGTTATGGCCAAATTTCCCCCAAATTTGGAGGAAATAAACTTATGCCAGAAGCCTGACAAACAACAAAAATGATGAATACAAAATAAACCATTCCTAGGCACATCTTAGTTAAACTGCTAAACAGAAGAAAATTCTGAAAGAAGGCAGGGGGAAAAATTACCCAGCACAGAGGAAAAACGTAATACAAATGTTGGCTGCCTTTTTGTCAGAAACAAGAGAAGCAGGAGGACAGAATAACATTTTGAAATGAAAGAAAAAAATTCTGTTAACCTAGAATTCCATATCTAGTAAAAAGTACTTGCAATACTGAAGATAAAATAAAGACACATTTCAATTAAAAGAAAAAAAAATAATGCCAGATGTGCACTAACAAGAAATGCTACAGGAAGTTCTTCAGCCTGAAAGGAATGAGCACTAGATGGAAACTTGATTTACAAAAGGCAATGAAGAGAATAAGAAATAAATATGTGGGGAAATATAAAAGACAACAATGACTTAAAGCAATAATTTAAAGACTGTATTGTGGAGTTCATGACTTCACGAATATGTCAACCACAGCACAAAAAATGGTTCTGGCTAAGTGACACTATCTTGTTTCAAGGTTCTTATGCATATATTTCGAAGTGCGACAATATCAATTCTAAGTAAAATGTTACAAATTAAGATGTATGTAATTCCTAAAGCAATCACAAAATGATGTCACAAATTAAGATGTATGCAATTCCTAAATCACAAATTAAGATGTATGTAATTCCTAAAGCAATCACAAAATGATGTCAAGAGGTGCTGTTAAAAATCCAACCAAGTAATTAAAATAGAACACACACACACAATTTAACCACAAAGAGAGCTAGAAGGAGGTACAGAAGATCAATAAAAAAATATGGCAAACAGCAAACAATAACAAAATGGAAAACCTATATCCAACCATACCAATAATTGTATTAAATATAAAGATGAAACAGTCAAGTTAAAAGGACTAAATAAAATAGCGAGAATCAACTATATCCTGTCTACCAGAGATGTACTTTAAAAAGGAAAAATGGCCAAGTCCACAATCAAAAGGAAAGATTTCTAATCTCTCTAAGTGATAAAAAAATTAGACCCCCCCAAAATTTAATAAGGATATAGATGATAAGAATAACACTATCAACCACTTTGACCAAATCTGAGAATGCTACACCCGATATCTGAATAATACACACAAAATAAGTCTTGAATTTCAAAAGATTGCAATGTATGTTCTCTAAAAATAGAATTATTTTAGAAACCAATAACAGTAAGATATCTAGAAAAAAACACATTTTTAGATATCAAACAACCCATGAATCAAAAAAGAAATCACGGGAAGAATTTAAAAATATTTTTAAAGAAATGATCATAGAAACACAACATATCAAAATGTGTGAGATACAGCTAAAGCTGCTTACAAGGAAATGTATACCTTTAAGTTACTTATATTAGAAAAGAATGGATTAAAATCAATGATCTAATTTTTCCACCTTAAGACCTTAAGAAGCTAGAACAAGTTGAAAAAATTAAACCCAAAGTAGAATGTAGGAAATAATAAAGATTAGTAGTCAATAAAATATAAACAATTTAAGAAGCTAAAAGTTGCTTCTTTGAAAAGATGTTTATTGACTAACATAACACACACTGTCCCTTTACAAAACTTTTCAGCTCTGAAGAGGTATGTAATTCAGAATTTTAGATTTTAGAAGGTTCTGTCCTACAGATTATTATATATTGTTTAATATCCTCACATCTGTGTAGCACCCTGAAATCAAACACATTAATATTTCTGTAGTGAAATATATAAATAATTTTAGAGGGACAAAGACTATAAGTAGCCTCATCTCAGTTCAGGTTAGGTTTTAATGGCAAAAATTCTACAACAAATTGGATATTAGAGGTTCTTTTTTTAAAATTTCCAAATTGCAGAATTGATATAGTGGATTTGTAATAAATTGATTCCTCCTTTTTACAGGTCCCTGAACATAGGACATTCCCCCGTTACTAAGCCTTAAGGGATGACTTTCTTAGCCATGATCACAGGATGAATTTTTTCCTCTTAACAGTTTCCATGAAACTGGAAAGTCAGATTATTTAGTAAATCCAATGATCTTTGTAATAACCTAGATTTGCCTAGATTTAAAAAGAGGACATTAGGCTTCCAAGAAACTGGGTTCTTGGCCAGCGTGGACACAAATTTCAAGGAAAGAAGCATATTCTCTTCCAACATATAATTTTATAGTAAAATAACAAAATCATCAAATTTCCAAACACACAATACTAAATGGTGATATATACAAAAATTAAAATATCCCTGGAATTCCATACAATCAGCATTTGTACTTTTCACTTTACTATTCCATTTTTGTCAGGCAAATTCTAAATGGGATATAGTTTAAGTCAACGATAAAAGAAAGCTTAAATAATATTTCTAAATGTAATTACATGCCTTATTTAAAATAACCCTAGCAAAAAATTTATTGGCCCAATTCTCTAACCATTACCTCAAACTTTAGAGAAACCCAACTCTACAAATCTAATATTTAATTCTCAGGGAGGCTATAACAGGCAGAACAGTAATAGAACGTTATTAACAGTGATAATTGTAAAAATTTCCTTTAAAGCCCATGCAATACTCCTATAGATGCTAACTGGAGCTATGCATGCATTAAATCAGATATGTGTACTTACTATTACTGCTACTGCTGTCATTCCTAAGGGAGCTGGCTGCAACAGGGGGTAACATAAATGGTTTTGTGACACTGACTCTGGAATCTAAATAGAAAGCAATAATGTGTCAGTGTTGCATGGCAATTTACATAAGTTACAGTGTCCCCAAAAGGCCAAGTGCAATACCAGAGTACTTTCAATGTCTACTTCTCGAATCTAGATTATTCAGATCCTATTTATTTCATACTGGGTCTTGCTGCTGTTCTATTTTTATTAAGAAATTCACAATAGTCACCTTACAGAACAAAAATTCATTGCCTACACATGATAAATGTAAATTACACAAATTGTTAGTAATTGGTAATTTTTTTAAAAAAGCAATGAAATTAAGATTTTGTATTATAGGGAACCAGTGAGGGGAAAAGTCAATACAGAGTAACTAGTGAAGGTCATCACTCAGAGTTAGATCCTTTAGGAAAAGATTTGAGAAGGGGACATTAAGAAGATGGGTGAGGAGTAACAATTGTACATTACTAGCAAATATCAGATAAAAAATATGAGTGACTATCTCATTTATTGTTTACTCACACGTACTTCTTTAATTTGAAAATCATGAGGGTTGTTTTGGCTTGAAAAACAACAAATCTACAACCATTCATTTCTTTCATGTTATTGATATTTGCTTTTATATTAGACATAACACACATATATCTTTCTCTAAACATATATATTTGAGTCAGAGGTAGATTCTTACCTACATATATAAGACTCAAACCTGCTTTTAACATTTAAATTAGAAATGTGTATATGTCTTACCTTTTTCAGGACTTAATGTTGAAGAAACCACACATTCACTAGTTTTAGATGACACCATATCCAAGTCCTTGAAGGCATCGATGGATCTATTAAAAATTCTAAAGAATTCTTCAGGAGTAAATAGCTTGGATTCTAGGCTCTTAGGTGACTTTTTTATATTCTAGAAGAAAAAAATAGAATTATATTTTTCAAACCGTCTACAGATTTAACTGATGTCAAAGTAATATACTGTGTCCTTCAAAGATTCAAGTAGAACACTCTTAGACAACTGTTTTAACATACATAATTCAAACTGACACAGCAGGGTAGTGATCCCATCCAGTTCAGTCTGAGGCTCAACTGAGGATAAAAGGAATAGGGGAGGCAGTGGGGGTGAGTAATGTGAATTACAGTGTTACACCAATAAAATAATCCTAATGACAATTAGAGGCATTGCTTTTTAAAGATACTCATTAAAATCATCATCATTATTATTTTTTTTAAATCCTCTATAACACAGCCTCTAAATAGCAAAAATTAAAGTCTGATGATGTAAAATATTGGCAAGGACACGGATGGAGCTAAGAGGACTCATACCCTGGTGAAATGATGTAAATTGGCACATTTGATATTATCTAGTAAAGCTGGACATATGCCCATCTTGTGACCCAGGAATTCCATTCCTAAGTAAATACTTCACTAGAGTGAAGCTTTTGCACTTATGCACCATGAGACATACAAAAAAGTTTTTAGCAGCAGTTGTTTATAAATGCTGACATCAATCAACAGAAGAGTAGTTTAATAAATGATGGTATACTGAGTCACTGGAATATTCTATGACCAGTAAAAAATTAACCACAGCTATATGCATCAAAGTGGATAAATCTTATAAACATATTGCTGAGTGAATGAAGCAAGTTACAAAAAATAAAAAGTATCATTAATTTCTATAAAGTCCCCCCAAAAAGTAAATCAAAGCTGTATTTTTAGGAATTCATAAATGCATGATTATCTACAAAGAAAATCAGGCGATAGTAAGAGTTAACACATATGTAGCACTTACTATATACTCCTCTAGGTGCTATATATATATACTTAATCTCTGAAACAACTGAAAAACACTGGGATCAATCTCCTGGGTTCCAGCCCAAGGTCACAATCACTAAAAGCACATTCTTTGGCATTTGGAATTCTCTTCCTGACATTGCCATTTACTGAACACTTAACTCATCTTTCAAGTCTCAATGCATATAATATTTCCATCATGACACCTTATCTAATATACCTTCTGTTTTGTGACCTCTACTTCTTATTGATGCCATCAGCACACTATTTGTAGCAATACAATACAAAAAGAGATGTTAACTCTAAGATGTCATTGATTGTAAGATACATTATGACTTAGAAATTAGAATGTAAAATAATAGTAAATAAATATAGTGATCAGGTTATTAGCATAATAAGAATTCTGAGACTGGAGAACATAAATGGGACTGATGTTGGGTCTTAAAGAGTAACTGGAATTTTGATGGGGAGGAAGTATGTGAATATTACAGTACAGAATCATATTTAAAATCTTAGGTTTAAACTTCCAGAAGGCCTATAGGCTAAACTTTGGCTTGTGAACTTTGGCTATGCCAAAGCAGGTCTCTCAATACCTATTCTATAGATATGGTAATAATAAAATGTAATAATAATAATTAAATTTATTAATATTTTCTTTGTCAGACACGGTGCTAAAGCACTCATCAGAAATCATCTAATGTCAACTCTGTCAGATGGATCCTGTCATTGTTCCATTTTAGGCATAAAGAAGGTAAGTACAGAGGGGTTAAATTCACATAGCAAATTACTGACAGAGTCAGGATCTGAACTCTTACACCTCATACTTAATCTCTAGTGATTAAAATATGCTTAGAATCCAAATCATTGCCATGCCCACATTCTGAAGTTGGTAACACCTAACCATAAAATGACTTGGGGATGTTAAAATGCACTTCTTTGTTATGACATGATTCCTGTGGCTAAGAGGTCAAGTATAAGTGTTCATTGTTGACAATTTTACATTTAAAGGTAAAAGAACATTTGAAACCTAATAGGAAAGGTATGATAATTTCATTCACTTATGAAATAAAGATAAAGTTAGGGCTGTTTTTACATTATTGTGAGAATCAATTTTTGTATTGTCAATTTTGTAAGTGACATTTAAGTCAATGTACATTTCAACATTGTGGTGTAACTACAAACACCTATTTCTGTGCTCATCTTTCAAAATATTTTTAAATTAAATGCTTATACATTAAAAATAGCACACATAAAGGCATCCCCACTCTCAATCAGCATAGGTTTTGAAAAGAATAGTAAAAAGCCTTTCCAGTGAATACAAAGTTACCTCGAATGTGTGTCCTTCCATGCACTCCACAAGGTCATCCACTATTTTCCCAAGTTTGTCTATGATAGAATAATTACTCAAGCCTTCAGAAATTTTTGAAAACTTGTCCAGAAGATCAGTCAAGCTGACTGACAATTGTTCCACCATTTCATTTATCCAACAATGACTAGGCTGCAAGAAATGGAAAGCAAGGAAGATAAAGCATTTATTTTAAGTACAGTAAACCTGGATCACCCTTCAAAGACATCAACGTTGCCATCACTGACCTGCCAGACAAAGGAGTGCCTTATATCAGCACAGTTCAGTTCTTGTGTTTTGTTTAACTCAGCTCTAACATCTGTTTCAAAATTTACAAATGTATATAGATCAGAGGAAAGTGTTGATGGTAAAGGTTTTGCTCTTCCGTAGAAGTAAATTAAGACAAGAAAGAGCCAACTCTTACCCTTGACAAGGTCCAGATATTAATGGAATTTAATTCTATTGAAGAATATTTATTCTTCAATAAATATTGAACTGGAATATGAAATGATAGATTAACAACAGCTATTTTTCTAAAGTGTTTGATCAATTTCAAGCCTCCTTCATAGATGAATTCATGTGTATGTTACCAAAAAAAAAAAAAAAAAAAAAAAAAAAAAAAAAACCCGGGGAAAAAGGGGGTTGAGAGAAGAGA